AAACAGGAAACTCTCCTATATAGAAAGCCTCAGAGATTAACCTATATGAATCTGTCTAAGGTGCATTTGAACCTGTTCCTAAACAGCAGCCCAAAGGTTACTGGCAATGCACCAGAGAAACCCATGACTGGGGGATTTAGATAGTAGCTGCAAATCTGCACTAATCTGTGTTTACAATCTATCCTCTACTACTGTCTACAGAGAGTAACTACTAAGCTGAAGATGGCTTTCATAGCAGTATATACTGAAAAAAAACAGTTTAAAATAACCTACTAGGGACAAAATACTTGAAAAATTTATCTGGAACCTAATCTCCTATTTCCTGTAAACTCTGAATAAAGCAGTCAAGAACCATATAGGTAAGAGTAATTTTGGTACATTTTCTTAACTATATTGATTTTAAGAGTGTGGTGCATTTTGTCTCTCTGTTTGAGGAAATTGAAGACGACTTGAGGAATTTGAAGATATCACAGTGACTGTATGACAAATATTCCTTTCAGTTTGTTTCACTAGCCTTTCAACATGCTAATTTTCTAGGCTTTTAGATGTGTGGGAATAAACTGTATTTTGAGGTCACACGAATAGTCAGTTAACTTTTGCCAGCTTTGGTTTTATGTAGGGCAGATATAATCTACCATGGAAATGCTGCACATGTTTAGCATTACCTCTTCATAAAAAGATTATTTAAAGGCTTATTATTGGTAAATAATTGCTATATGCAAGAGCCAGGAAACTCGTGGCTGCAAGTGTTTTGCAGTTGGTAATAAAAGCTCCATTGTTCTGATACAGCAAGATAGAACTACAACAATAAAGCAGTGATGAACTGTTAGGCAGTATCTCTGCACAGAGTAAATCTGCAAGGCTTTTTCAAAATTATGCTTCAGATAACACATTAAAAGGCATACTTTGGGCATCTGCAGTTTGGACATGATGCAGTGCTCAGCCCTCTCTCAGTGGGGTGCTTTGAAGAAGCCCCAGAGAGGATACACACAGCAAGCAGAGAAAGCCTTGCTGTTCAGGATTGGGCCCTTTTTGACTGAAAGATTGCTAGAAAATCAGAAATAGCTGCTTGTATGCCATCCTTCTGAGTCTATGATTCTATGCCTAGCTCCCACGGGAAGGGCAGGGGATGGCTCTGTCTGGAGGGAGCAGCGCCTGGAAGAGGCTCGTGGGACAGTTTCCAGCTAGGGCTGCCCTAGCACAAGGATGATGAGGGCTTACAGGCACTTCATGTCAGGAAATGATGGAAAATACATGTGGCAGGAAATGAATGCAAGCCAGTGTGTGCCCAGGTGGCCAAGAAGGACAATGGGACCTGGGCTGTATCAGCAACAGTGTGTACTGGGACGAGAGAAGGGCTCCTTACAGGCACTTCATGTCAGGAAATGATGGAAAATACATGTGGCAGGAAATGAATGCAAGCCAGTGTGTGCCCAGGTGGCCAAGAAGGACAATAGGACCTGGTCTGTATCAGCAACAGTGTGGACTGGGACCAGAGAAGGACTTGACCCCTGTACTTGGCACTGGTGGGTCACCTCCAGGGCTGTGTTCAGTTCTGGTGCCTTCACAGTGTGGACTGGGACCAGAGAAGGACTTGACCCCTGTACTTGGCACTGGTGGGTCACCTCCAGGGCTGTGTCCAGTTCTGGTGCCTTCATTTCACAAACACTGCAGGACTGCAGCGGGTCCAGAGAACAGCAACGGAGCTGGAGCAGGGTCTGGAGCACAAGTCTGGGCAGGAGCAGCTGAGGGAGCTGTGGGGCTCAGCCTGGGGATAAGGGGACTCCAGGGGGACCTTCTTGCTCTCTACAAGTCCCTGACAGGAGGGTGCAGCCGTGTGGGAGTCAGTGACCAGGCAACCAGCAACAGGACAAGAGCACATGGTCTGAACTGGGAGAGGTTTAGGTTGGCCATTAGGAAGAATTTATTCCCAGAAAATGTCATCAGACGTTGGAACGGGTTGCCCAGGGAAGCAATGGAGTCACCATCCTTGGAGGTATTAAAGGAAAAGCTAGACATGGCACTTGGTGCTGTACGGAAAACCACGCTAGGAAAACCCAGGGTCCAGGAAGGAGACAGAAGAGCCCTGAAACTTCATTCCAATAAAGGGGAGAGGCCTCTGGGGCACAGGCCTGTGGGGTCTTCGCTCTCTTGAGCTTTCAGAGGGCACAGTCTCCTTTTACCCTAAATTCCCGGCCGCCTGGGAATTGCCTTCTTCCTTTCCCCATCAGCTGAGGCACTAGGAAGGTACAGACTTCCCCAACCACCCACCCCACATCCCCACCTGAAGCTGTCATTTTACCCCAAAGTTCAGAAACTCAGGCTTGTGCATTTGCCTGTTTCAGGAGTCAAACCATCTGGCGTCTGTAACAAACCCGCGGCTTGGAGTGGGTAGAAACATTAAGACCTATTTCAAAGACGTTGACACCCATACCCTCACCCTTGGAAAGACATGAGCACACATCCTTCCTATCAGTGCCACGGTCTGTTTGACAAATTGGTGTTTGGTCACAGGCTGGAATTGATGATCGCAGAGGTCTTTTCCAACCTAAGTGATTGTGTGACTCTGAGGGCTAGTGAGGGGGAACCAGCCGCCTCCTGCTCTGCGGGCGAGGACCAGGAGCAGACCCCATCCATTTGGGGCTATCGACAGCCACTCCTAACCCCAAATCCACACCTCGGCCACCCCATTTTACCACGGGCCGAGGGCGGCGGGCGCGAAATGGCGCCGCCGTCACGTGCCCGCCGCCCGCGGCCTCGCCCGGCGCCTGCGCTGGGGCGGCGGGGCT